TCAAACATTTGAACATAAAAGAATGTAGTACCCCTCTTGATCCAAGTTCAAAGCCAATAAAGAATGATGGAAGAGAAATTGTTCAACTACAGTATAAAAGTGCTATCGGAAGTCTTATGTACGTTGTTCAATGCACAAGGCCAGATATAGCTTTTGCAATTAGTAAACTTAGTAGGTTTACTAGTAATTCGAGCAATGATCATTGGAATACCATTGGAAGAGCTCTTGGATATTTAAAGAAAACCAAGAACTTAGGTCTGCAATACACTAAATTTCCTACTGTATTGGAAGTATTTACAGATGCTAGTTGGATATTTAGCATGAGTGAAAGTAAATCCATTTTTGGTTGGGTGTTTATTGTTGAAGGTAGTGTTGTTTCTTAGAAATCGAAGAAGCAAACATGTATAACACACTCAACTATGGACTTTGTAGCATCATCAGAAATTGGGAAAGAAGTTGAGTGGCTTAAGGATCTACTTTATGATATACCTTTGGGACCGAAGAATACATCTTCGATATCTATCACATGTGTTAGTCATGCCACATTAGCAAAAGTATACAATGATGTATAGAAACTCTAAACATATGAATCTAAGATATGACTACATAAGGAAATTATCAAAAGTTTCCTAAATTATGTAAAGTCAATAGAGAATTTAGCGGATCCATTAACTAAACCTCTAAATAGAGATTTAGTGACGTCTACTTCGAGTATAATGGGGTTGAAACTCTTGAACTAAAAGTCTATCAATGATAGCAACCCCATCTGTCATTACTCAAAAAGTAATCAACGGGTTCAAAAGGTAACAACAAGTCATTCGATATATAGATAGTTTCAACATTATGTAATCCTCAATAACCCTATTCTGGTTAAATAATGCTGGTTGTTACTGAAGTGAGGATTGAGTTTTAAACTCTTAATGAAGTTCAGTACTAAATACAAATATCTCTAAAAAGTAACAAAAATACTAAAAGAACTTCACCTAGATAAACTTTGAGGTGGTGCTACCTCAATAGAGAGATAGAGTTTCACTCTTTAAAGTTTGTTGAAAATGATGAGCGCTGGCGCTAAGCGAGATTGAGGAACTTGAGGACACGTGATACATGTGTGTGTGTTCTTACCGGTATTGTCATATGAAATCATTGGTTCAAA